TAGGGTTATTTTTAACGAGGTGAAGCCCCCCCCCCCGAAGGGGGGCGGAACATACTGTCTCCGCATACATTTTTCTACCCTCATGTAAGTCACTCCCCTCCACCAAATGTAGATGGAAAAATGTATGCGTGAAGACAGTATGTTCCGCCCCCCCTTCGGGGGGGCTCCACTTCGTTAAAAATAACCCTACCCACCCTATGTCAGAGGTGTGGAGTGGATCTCGCTTCACGTGGAAAGTTGCAAACCCATGTGGAATCATATATGTGCTGCAAAGTACATGCTTAGATGGAAGGATAAATACGAAATTGCTTCCGGATAACCCCAGTGTATTATCTGCTTTACCCGAATATAACCCGTGTCTAACACGTGTGTGAGAAGAATCAACATTACATATGTTTCTAACTTATCATTCACACAGCCACCGCACAGACATCGAATGTCGCACATTTTTACGTCATTATGCATGCTCGGTTATTATACACATTTAAAATTGGTGCGCTTTTTGCACATAACCACATCAACACTACGACCAATCACAGGATTATGTTGATAGAAGTGGTTCTGTGATTGGCGATACGCAGGTTACGCTTATGCAAGTTACGCTCCATGTGGTGCCACCCTTAAAATAGTGACTAACACTAGAATTACGATAAAACAAATGAAGCGCATCACATTTGTTTGGAAAGTCGCATACACGTGCAACAATGTTAAGTTTGTTCGAATTTGCGCGTCTTCTTCATAATAAAGAAGAATTAATAGATTTTTTATTTCAGAATGGCGTATTAGCAAATACAATTAAGTGTAATCGGTGCGGTAACGATATCAATATTAATAAAGATACATTAATATATCGATGTACAAGACGATCTTACATAAAGAACGTACACAAGAGACGTGTTTCCAAGAGGTGCAACTTCTACAGAACTGCTAGAGTTGGTACTTGGTTCCATCAAAGCAATTTAGACATTGCTACTATCTGTAAGATAGTAGCATGTTTTTTGATGTTCCGGCATCCACGGCAGGACGACACAGTGGATGAAACTGGCGTAGCGTCGCCCACAATTATAGATTGGTTCAGTTTTTGCCGAGAGGTAAATATATCTTCATTTATTTTAATAATTGCACTGCGTGTTAAAAAAATAAAATTAATGTAGAAAACTAAATGTTAATATTCTTTTATTTGCAGGTCTGTGTGTTCTGGGTAGACAAGCATAGCGAGAAGCTCGGTGGCCCAGGACATACAGTTGAGATCGACGAGGCAAAAATTGGAAAAAGAAAATACAATCGTGGCCGACTCATTAAAGGGAACTGGATTTTTGGAGGATACGAGCGAGAATCAAAGAAAGTCTTCATCGTTCCAGTCGAGAATCGGACAGAAGAGACACTCCTGAAGTGTATCAAGGAATGGATTCTGCCAGGAACTACCATCGTGTCAGATTGTTGGAAATCCTACAATTGCTTAAGCAATGAAGGCTTCCAACATCTGACAGTAAACCATTCCTACAATTTTGTCGATCCTGAGAGTGGTGAGATATAAAAATATATTATATATAAATAGCAAATTATATTATTAATGTTGCTATGTTCTAATATATTTTTTAAATTTTCAGGTGCACACACTCAACATATAGAGCGCGTTTGGAGAGAGGTTCAGGGAAATATTCCAAAATACGGAACTAAATCCGAACATTATGTTGGATATTTGTCCGAATTTCTCTTCAAACGCACCTATAGCCGACTGGAACGCATTGAAGCTTTCTTTAAGACCATCGCGGAGCTGTATCCTCCAATGTCCGAAAACTTGCCAGCAGAATTCGAGGACCAACAGGAACCAAGTACCAGCACAGCTTGAAGACACATTTCTTGTATATGTTCTTTATACCGTTTTTGATATCATTACCGCACTGACATTATCATTACACTTAATTGTATTTGAAAATATGTTGAATTAAAAAATCTATTAATCTTTTATACTTTAATTTATAATTTCGCGCACTTTTCTTAACTCAACGTATGCACAGCGCATATTTACGTCACTGCATATGATGTGCATTTAGTCTGATTTCGTCGGTATGACAGATTTTCTAACCCTAAAAGTTGTCAACTTTAACAATTAATATCTCGCTTCGCAGGGCAGAGCGACGATTTTGTCTAAGGAAAAAGTTGTTTCTCGTTAAAAAACGCGTCGAATGAGACAAATTTGATTGATTTTGGAGGTGGTGTAGCTATTCTTAACATTTACCGGCAGCTCAAGCTCACCACGCATCGCACGCC